TTTTTTAAATTGAAACTGTCATGATTTTCAAAATTTTCAATCCTTTTAATATTGCTAGAATTGTCAAAATATTCAAAATTTTCAGTATTCTTAGAACTGTCAACATATTCAAAATTTTGAAAGTTTTCAAAAATTTTGAACTTCTCAGTTTTGAAAATTTTAAAAATGGAGTTATTCGAAATTTTATATTTGTCCAATTTCTTGACAAAGAAATAGGATAAAAACAATCAGTAGCGTGACATTTAACTGTATAAAAAGTGACAAGCAAATTCTATGTACGAACATAAGTGACCATCAGAAATAAGGCTTTCGTACAAAGTGTTACCTTTTGCACATTATATTCATTACGCAGAGTTTATATAATATTACATAAAGTTTGAAGAGTAGAATCAGCTTTTTTATATTCCATACCCTTACCAGCAAGAATGTAGTTAACAATTCTTTCTACAACCTTAAAATGAGGATGGCAGTAACTGAGTAGTTGCTTATGGCAAGATCACAAGAGCAATGCTACTGAAGTCGCAGTCGGCTTGAATTCCAGTTGTCTTCGGGTAGCTTTTGGTGTGAACAATGCCTAAGAATTCATTGGGCGAAATGAGTTGCTCTGATCTATTATAGTACATATTCTGTGATTGCACCAACCACTCGCCTCCTCCTCGACAGTCTACGTCCTTAAAATTCATCGTCGTCAGTCCCACACAGAAAATCTCTTCTCGCTCCTGGTATTGACGGGAACGTCTCAATGTTGGCGCAGCGGTGCCGGCGTTGCGATAACGAAAATTTACTTCTAGCGATTATACACTGCATAAGCAAGTACTCCGCTTCAACTCAGAAAATGCCGCAGTTCTATTCACTAGGAAATCAATTAGAAGTTATAGCATTAATGGTCATAATGCTTAACTAATTTAGGCATTAACCGGAGCAATTGAGCGTTTTTAGCCTAAATACTAGGAGCTTAAAGACACTGGTATTTGAACTGCCTGAGGTTAGTAGAACTAGTGGTACTGGGAAAAAGCCTTCTCAGGCAGAATGTTTCGCAATCTCGACACTGTATGAACAAAGGAGCGGTCATACCTGCCAGTTCTGGATAAACGAAGCTCGACGCGGCTTGGATGACGGCGGGGCAAACGTGTAAGCAATACTCGATGCTAGGTCTAAAAGGGAAATATTTCTAATTAACGTAGTCAACGATTTTAGAATTTCTTAACTTTGAGATTACATATCCTAAAGCATAAAACCTAAATAAATATTTTTGCTACATTTCAAAGCGTTGATATTTAGCCACATCAAAACCTTATTTCCCAAGCAAACATCACCGTCATTAAACTCAATGATACTGTTCAATCACTCAACTCCAAGCATCAACAGTATCAAAACATCAAAGCTTCCGCTTCAGCTTACTTGCTTCCGTGCTCTTTACCAATTACTTTTTAATGTAGTGCCCCTGTTATGGTACAAAGTAGCTGGTCTTCTGTGGATAATTCGATCAGCTCGATCACGGCCACCCATGTCTTTAGTCTATTTTCTTCCAGTTGAAAGTCAACAGTCACTTTTATAGGCTGGGAATTTTAGAAAATGCATATGTAACAAATTATGCCTGACATGTGCCTTGTCGGCGCGTACTTATATTTTGAATGGAGGTGCCACATAATGTTGGTAGGAAAATTAAACGGCAGATGCAACAGGTTAATATATTAAAGAGGTGCATATTGACAGAAGTCCGGAAATGCTTCGTTTCATTTTTTGAATTCATTTCAATTCTATAGCGACTAGATAATAGTACGTTTTTGCAGAAGTAAAGAAATAAAATAATGCAATAAAATAAACAAAGCAGCAATAAATATGAAAGAAATATACACAAGATCAATAAAACACTATTACAGTCACAAAAGTTTACAACAGAACAAAAACCTCCTATTTTTCGTTCAGTCGCAGTGGTTCAAGACTGAGAATCAAAAATCAATCTGTTTAAGATTATTGAAAAGTAGCAATTCGCATGTTTTCAACGTAGATAACGGAATATTTCAGGAAGCATCAAAACAATTGTTTTAGCAAAACTGGTGACGTACGTTGCCTCCTTAAACATAAAGTTTGAATACCCTGTATCATAAAAATAGAATATTCGGACCTAGGTTTATATTGTTTATTTATTTTTGACATTTTCACGTAGCTATTTTGCCTTTAACGCCTTGCCTACTCAGTATTGTATGCGACCACGCATTTCTAAGGCACCCAAGGTGCTTATTGAGAGTCCACATTCTTCAGTAGCCACATATTTTGTCAGGTCAAGGCTAACACTTTCCTTGCCCAACCAGGTTCAAGTTTTTTGGTTGTCTCTAGCTATTACATGTTATAACACTGATCAACAGCAAAAAAATATCCTAAATAAAATCAACAAAATATTACTATTTTTAATGTGCTAAAACCGGAATGAAACGTATTTTTTCAATATTAGTTCAAGTTTTAGAGATACGGTAATTATATGTGTTCCTGCTGTGACAGTGTTAATATACTGTAATTCACAAGAATGCACGTGCTATATTTTTATATTCGGCAAGGAAAGATGATGTAATCGGCATGATTGTGTTACGTTATACATACGTGTACATTATATTGTTTTATATTAGCCATTTTTTCCTCAGTTGGCTGACAGCGTTCATGCAAGATGTCTCGAAAGTGTGTAAACAATCCAGATCAGTTTTGTTACGCGTGTGGTGATGTGACTTTTGCGTCTCAGAGACGGTCTATTACTCCACTAATAACAAAGGCATATCAGCTTTATTTCGGTTGTAAACTAGGTGATCAAGACAAACAGTGGGCACCCCACATCTGCTGTAATACATGTGCTTCAAGTCTGAGGAGCTGGTTAAATGGCAAAAAACGGTCTATGCGCTTTGCTGTCCCAATGGTTTGGAGAGAGCCTACAAATCATATTAATGATTGTTACTTTTGCATGGTACCTTGTGTTCGACAAGCCACAGGTATGTCCAATAAAAAAAAATCTGTTATTAACTACCCAAACATACCATCTGCGATGAGACCTGTGTCTCACAGTGACGAAAATCCTATTCCAAAACCCCCAGAATCCTACACTTGCACGTCATGCCACCAACTGCACAAAATAACACAGTCAGAATTGAATGATCTTGTAAGAGATTTAGAACTTCCAAAATGTAAGGCAGAGTTACTTGGATCAAGACTGCAGCAGTGGAACTTGTTAGAAGACGATGTTTCGGTATGAGTTTTTCGTAAACGCCACAAAGACTTAGAACCATTTTTCAATATGAAGAATAACTTGGTTTTCTGCAGTAACATTAACGGCTTACTGGCGGCTTTAAATATAAACTATAACCTAGAAGAATGGAGATTGTTTATAGACAGTTCAACATTGGGTTTAAAGGCAGTGTTATTGCATATTGGAAATATTTTACCATCTCTTCCTGTAGGGTATGCAGTTCACATGAAAGAATCATATGACAATATGAAGTACCTATTGACATGCATAAAATACAATGAGCACCAATGGCATATTTGTGGCGATTTGAAAGTTGTTGCACTTTTACTTGGGCTGCAGCTAGGCTACACAAAGTTTTGCTGTTTTTTGTGTGAATGGGACAGTCGGGCAAAGGCACTTCATTACACCAGACAAAACTGGCCTGTTCGTCAATTCCTAGAGCCAGGTCAAAAAAATGAACAGCATATGCCATTAGTAGATTCGAAAAAAATTTTATTACCACAACTGCATATCAAGTTGGGCCTAATGAAAAACTTTGTCAAGGCATTAGATAGAGATGGGTCAGCTTTTCAATACCTGCGTCAGAAATTTCTAAGACTAAGTGAGGCAAAGGTTAAAGAAGGTATTTTTGTTGGGCCACAGATTCGAAATATTTTGAAAGATACACAGTTTGAAAACACTTTAACAGGTATTGAAAAAACTGCTTGGAATGATTTCCGTCTGGTGGTCACTAATTTCTTGGGAAATAGAAAAGCTGACAACTATAAAACCCTTGTCAAAAATATGCTGTCATCGTATCAAAAGATGGGCTGTAATATGTCTCCTAAGATACATTTCCTACACTCACACCTGGGCTTTTTTCCTGACAATTGCGGAGCCGTAAGTGATGAGCACGGCGAACGTTTTCATCAGGATATTTCAACAGTGGAAAAAAGGTACCAGGGAAAGTGGAATCCTTCCATGCTTGCAGACTACTGTTGGACTCTTGGTAGAGATGCTCCAGAAACGATCCATAAAAGAACAGCAAAAAGACAGCGCATATAGTGATTCTTATAAGTATATGAATCTTGTTACTTTTTTTAATATATCCTTAAAAATAAAAAGTTTTTTTTCTAAACCGCAACTAATTTTTTTAATTCATTGTCATTTTTGGATTCAGCGCCCCAAAATTAACAAAGTAGTGCACTTTTCCCACAAGATACAATTAAAAAACTGAAATTTTTTGTCCAGTGATAATTATTGTTCACGAGTATCCACTATGTTTTGACGTCTGCTGAGGTAAACAGCATATCTGGAAACTTTGAGTCACTGAGACTTTTGGCAATAAAATATACGAAGTGCGCATGGAAAAATGGATTCAACCAACTTTCGTTGTTTCACATCTTTTTAGAGATGAAAACTACAGACTACCCGGTTTCACAAAACATATGCAACCAACAGTGCGCGTAGTTGAGTCATTCCTCCATAGATGGACGCTCACGCGGTGATAGCGAGCAAACGTGGCATGAACTGTTTGCACCCTAAAAAATGTCTAGTCTGCAAGATGCCATTTTATTGGTTTTTGTACTATTTTTAGCAGTTGTGTTCAACTTTGTTCATACTTTTGGTGTTTTGCACGTCAGCCTAGCAATCTGGGGTTCGCGCGGTCGAATCTCCGTCTCAGATGTTTAATTTCGAGTCATGGACGTTGTGTTGTGTGTTGTCTATATAACAACGAATATGCGTGCAATGCTAACTACTACTTGTTCATATTTATCTGACTTACCTGTTTAGGGTAGTTATCCGGCAGCGAATCAGCGGCCTCTCTATACGCTGCCAGCGCCCTCTGTAGTCTCCCCTGCTCAGCATAGAGCGAACCTAGCCTCAACAAGGCTGCTATCCTAGCTGCCTCGTGCTCCCGCCTGTCTCTCACTTCTGCTCCGTCGAGCCTCGTGGCTCGTCTCAGAATGGCAGCTGCTTCTTGACACCTGCCACTGGCGACTAGGGCTGCGCCGAGGTTCACGTATGCCACTGAAACAAACAGGTTCATATAAACACGTATCCAAAAAAAAAATCAATTTAATTCAATAAACGACTTTTATATAAGGCGAAGTGTAAGTAGACCAAGCACCGATCCTTGAGGCACTCCTGAGGAAAGCAGATGTTCTGTAGAAAATTCTGAATCATCGACGACGTTTTGGGCTCTAGATGACGTTGACGTGACAAGTTTTGACAGTTGACGTGACCTATATGCAAAGTAATCCGGTAACTACGCGTTTACAAACAAGTTGTCGCTCTTCAGAGGTCCTTCCATTTCCGGTACGTGGACGATACATTCGTGATTTGGAAACATGGCTAAACGAGTTTCTGCAGCACCTCAACGATGGGCATCCAAGCATACAATTTACCAAGGAGATAGAGAGTGAAAAACAACTGGCCTTCTTGGACGTACTAGTCAGGAAGCGAGGTAAAAAGCTGGGTCCCACAGTGTACAGGAAACCAACGCACACAGACAGATACCTGCACGCTTTGTCCAATCATCACCCAAGTCAGAAGTATGGAGTCATCAGAACTCTGACAGAACGAGCTCGAAAGACTTGCGAACCGGAGAACCTCCAGACAGAACTTGAACACCTGAAAACTGCGTTCGAACACAGCAATGAGACATCGAAAGATCAACAGCGTCCCACCACCTCTCAAGCGTATCTTCCATTTGTGCCAAGAGTCATGGACAGGATTGGCAGAGTCCTGAAGAGACATGACAATAAAACAATCTTCAAGCCTACAAGCAGATCGGCAAAGGACAAGAAGGACCCACTCCCAGCTGCAGGAGTCTACCGCATACCGTGCTCATGTGGCAAAGTACACATTGGAACCACGAAAAGGTCAATGGGAACGAGACTCAAGGAGCGCAAAGCAAATTGCCGGCTAGGACAAACTGAGACGTCTGCAGTAGCTGAACATGCACTAAGCAATGGGGACCACAGGATAGTCAAGTCAACCGAAGCGGAACAAGCCACGTCATATGTTTTGTGGTGTATTCTGCTAGACATTTAGAAAGCGGAAGGAAATGCCGTGTAATGAGACCAGGCAGTTGAATTAGTCCTAACACCCCGTAAATGTTAGAAACCACATATGCTGAAAAGATTACTATTAACTAAAACAGTAACGTGAAATGCAAAAACTAACTTGAGAATCTGGAACCTTCCAATCTCAAAATGTACGTTTAGTTGCTACTTAAGTTGCTGATATCAGACCTTTTACTAGGATTAGTATTTATGTGTCCTGCACATCATATCCAATCTTCTCAATACACTATAAAATAACCGGCAGCGAAATTGCACATCTATAAATTCAATTTTCCGAGTTTACGTTCCACTTTCGTAAACTTGATACATTTTCATAGAGCCAGGGAATGATGCAAAGTAACCACATAGTAAGGGGTAATTGCCTTGGCTAATAAAAAGCGCATCAAACATTCATTGTCCGCTAAGTGGTTGCTGCAAACTGAATTGATTACTCCTTTAGTTTCCATTCGCCATTCTACATCGTCCTATTTAGACAGCGGATCGCTTGAAGTCATAGACGTCGGTAGAGGAGAACAAATGAAGTTTAGAAAAATCTGACCGTAAAGGCTATTCTATTCGTCATTGTCTGTCAGAGCGGTCCGTAGGACCTTTGCTCTTGGTTAAAGTCTTGTAAGTCAGTAGGTCAGGTCTGGTTGCCCAGATGCCTAACAAAGTCAGGGAGAAAGAAGGGAAGAAGAAAGGAAGGAAGGAGGGAGAGCAAAGAAAAAAGAAGCGCCTTGGCATTACTAATTACTATTCGGCAATTTTAAATTGATCCTAAAATTAATTTTGAGATTGTTGTTGAAGAAAAATGATCATTTTGGTTGGACCTAAAGTCGCACGATTTAATTTTGTTCCAGTGCGAGTCGCGGCCTTGTGTGCTTGCGGACTCGCTCGACTGTGTGGATTTCAAAAGTTTTAGGAGCCAGAAGGGATCAATTTGTAGAGAAGGCCCTTGTGCCACACCTCCTCAAATGCCTTTGAGACATCCAGAAGCAAAATGCCAGTACTTTCGTTACGGGTGAACCTCCTGGTTACTCGTTCAACAAGCCTTATGGCCTGTAGCTCCGTACTATGCTAAGACCGAAAGCCAAATTGCACGTCAGGAATCACATTGTGGTCTGACGAGAAATTTACAAGGTGACGTAGCTTTTCAGCGAGCTTAGAAGGAGCTGACAGTAGGCTAATGGGACAGTAATCCTGAGGGAATATCGAACCTACCTTCTTTGGAATCACTATGACATCAGCGGTCTTCCACGCCGCTGGGAAGTGCTGGGTCCTTAGCATGGCATTGATTATTGTCACGAGATAAGTTAAGCATTTCCGCGAATGTAGCGCCTTATTAGTGATTCGATCTTTTCCAGGTGCTTTACGCAGCTGGAGGGCTTTAATATGATCTTGAAGACCAAGGTCATCCTTGGGAGAGAAATGACTTTCCATTGCATCAGCGAAAACCTCGACCTTTTCCTCTGTCCTATAGACTATGCCCCCAGGACCGTGGATGTGCGGGAGTTGAACTCGCTTTCCGTTTCTAAGCGACTTCGCAACTTTCCAGAGAGGAATACGTGAGTCAAGCATCCCCGACAGAAATTGGCTCCATTTCCCATTAAGGATTTCATGAAGAGCATTTATCACTTCATGAACAAGATTCGTTGTTCCGGGATTGTCATCTGGGTGACAAGACCTCTTCGCTTGCTTAATTGCAGCTCCTTTATCAGAAATTTCCTGACGAATGTCTGCAGGGAGAAAAGGTCTGCCGTGTCGTTGTACTGGTAGTACAGCTGCACTCCGCTTGAGCAGCATCTATACCGTTCTCATCATCTATGATCGGGATATTGGGGAACTCTCTAAGGAGCGACTTGTATAGCTCCCAATCAACCCTTTTCCCTGGAAGAGTTTCCCCTTCCAAGGTTTGTTCATTACCCACTTCCAGTACGATAGGAAGATGATCGCTCGAAACTTCATACATGATTCGAGAAGTGACACTGTATCTACAGTTTCTAGATATCACTAAGTCAATGACATATTGTGCCTGAAGGTGATTAAATGGGTCGGCTCTTCAGTGCTGTGTATGAGGTAGTCGTTACGTATCACATGGTTGTAAAGTCGAATCTCACTGGTGGAATTCAACCTAGAATGCCATGCTGGATGTTTACAGTTGAAATTCACTGCTACAATAAGCGGACTTCCAGATCCGTTTCTTGCAGCCTGGCACCACATCTGTCATAAACCGATGTGATTTTCAACCATATACCTCCCGTCATATTCACTACCTCGGAAGCTGCCTCGATGCTCTGCATCTCAGCGTTTGTGCTTCTGTAATAGTCAATACCACGTTTTACTAACACTGCCAAACCGTCCAGTTAATCTATCAGCGTTGATAACATAATTCGAGAAAGCTAGGCGATCTCCCGGATTAGGCAATGTTTCCTGCAGTAGAGCCACATCTACGCTTTCATCCAAAAGAGCTTGATGAAATTCCCGTTTTTTGGGGACATCCCTAAAACACAAACAATTCCAGAAAAGGATTTTGATGAATGCAGGCTGTCTGCTATTGTACCTAGCCATTTAGCGGAAAGATCGCCTGCAATGGCTGAGTGGCGCTAATCAAGGGACTAATAATCTATCATAGGGACCTGCGCGCTGTTGCTAGGTCCACATTTTGAGTAGTCGTAGATGAGCTCGAAACAGCAGGGGCAGTTGAGGTGTCATCTCTTGCTGAGTCCGCGTATGACTTTGCTCGCCGATGTGCGATGACTTGTAGATTTCTCCTAGGAGTAAATCTACAGGTAGGACTATTTTCCGGATGGTCCTCCCCACAGTTCGGATGTGTCATGTGGTCTTGGGCACATTTTAGACACTGTGGCGGCGCAGTGCAATACGACTGTGCGTGTCCATACTTCTGGCAGCGGTGACACTGCCCAACGAGTCGAGAGTTCTTCTGAACTCCTATTCTGATAGAGAGTCCCAGCAATTCGTGCTCGTTGAACACTTGCTGTGACTTCTCCGTCTAAGGCAGGATCACCACCACCAAGGGCATGGGCACGTCGCAGTTGCGCCTTAAGCGAATGTTGTGAACGGGAGCGTAACCCTTCTGTTCTAGCTCATCTTTGACCTCCTGTTCGCTGGTTGACGCTCTGATAACCGCATGGATGTTGCGTTCAGTTGGCAAAGGGAAAGTGTGATGAGGACTGTTTTTCTCTTTGAAAAGACGGATTATCCTGCGATAATCGTCTTCGGTTTTGGGGATGATGCGTATCCCAGCGTCAACACGAATACCAAGACTTATGAAGGCATACCGTAAAGGCTGGCATAGAGACTCATACTAATCGTACGTTTTCCTTGCAAGCAAACCGTCAGGGAAGATGTAATATTTGTGGTACCCGACGTTTTATAGTCTTATTGTTTATAATAGTTTCCGTAAAGCAGGTTCAACATCAATCTATTGTTAATTCTACTCATACCAAGCAACTAAAGGGCTCATCGACCATACTTAAAACTTGTCCGGTAGATAATTTCCCGAGGCTATAAGGATTAACAATTCATAAAGCTTCTTGGCCTCTGTGCCGTGTATACAGCAGCGAGTGCATAATGGCAGTGCCATCGATGCTGGAACCCGAGAAAATGATGCCCGCGTTTAATCTCATACGCGTTACCATGAAAATTTTATCAGATTTTGCTGTTGCCCTATTTTACGGTGGTCGCTTTCAGCCGAGTCGTTAAAACCGATTTGGATGGCAACATTATGAGAGTGTCGATTTTTAGTGCGTACGTCACTGGGCGAGGAAGTATTGAAATCGTGATAAATCTAGAAAACGACATATGATGCTTTTACACCACTATGACGGGGAAAGTACCAATCGGATACTACTAATCTAAAAATAAATAAATAAAAAAAATGTATAAATTTTGAAAATCGGTCCAGCGGCGGCGTAGTAGTGGACGAGAAAAGAAAAAATATAGCGCAATAGGTAACTAACTCTAACTACAGGGGAATATTTATATATTTTAGGAATATTTGGGTATTAGGAGTACGTATCACTTTAGCGTTCTGCGATGCCTTTGTAAATGATGGCTAAACTGTTTTTATATCTACACATATATTTTTATGCATTTCATGATCCTCAAATGTACTTACCCATCTCGCCTAAC